AAAGGCTTCGGCGGCCCAGGGGGGCTGTCCTGGGAGTCCCGGGGGAGAGCGGGGTCCAGGGCCCAAGGAAGCAGGGGCAGGCCAGCGGGTGATCCTGGGAGGCCCGGGGGAGGGGGAGGGGTCCAGGGCCCGAGGTGGCCAGGGAGGACGACGAACCACGAACGAACGAACCACGAAAATAAGGCTTCGGCGGCCCAGGGGGGCTGTCCTGGGAGGCCCGTGGGCAGGGGGGGTCCAGGGCCCAGGGAAGCACGGGCAGAGTGATCCTGGGAGGCCCGGGGGAAGGGGGGGGTCCAGGGCCCGAGAGGGCCAGGGAGGACGACGAACCACGAACGAACGAACCACGAAAATAAAGGCTTCGGCGGCCCAGGGGGGCTGCCCTGGGAGGCCCGTGGGAAGGAGGGGTCCAGGGCTGAGGGAAGCAGGGGCAGGCCAGCGGGTGATTCTGGGAGGCTCGGGGGAGGGGGGGTCCAGGGCCCGAGGTGGCCAGGGAGGACGACGAACCACGAACGAACGAACCACGAAAATAAAGGCTTCGGCGGCCCAGGGGGGCTGCCCTGGGAGGCTCGGGGGAAGGAGGGGTCGAGGGCTGACGCAAGCAGGGGCAGGCCAGCGGGTGATCCTGAGAGGCCCGGGGGAGGGGGGGGTCCAGGGCCCGAGAGGGCCAGGGAGGACGACGAACCACGAACGAACGAACCACGAAAATAAAGGCTTCGGCGGCCCAGGGGGGCTGCCCTGGGAGGCCCGTGGCAGGCCAGCGGGTGATCCTGGGAGGCTCGGGGGAGAGGGGGGTCCAGGGCCCGAGGTGGCTAGGGAGGACGACGAGACACGAACGAACGAACCGCGAAAGTAAAGGCTTCGGCGGCCCAGGGGGGCTGCCCTGGGAGGCTCGGGGGAAGGAGGGATCGAGGGCTGAGGGAAGCAGGGGCAGGCCAGCGGGTGATCCTGGGAGGCCCGGGGGAGGGGGGGGGTCCAGGGCCCGAGGTGGGCAGGGGGGACGACGAACCACGAACGAACGAACCACGAAAATAAATGCTTCGGCGGCCCAGGAGGGCTGCCCTGGGAGGCTCGGGGGAAGGAGGGGTGCAAGGCGTACCTGACCTGCCTGGAGCCCTGGACCATGTGTTTCCGCGGCATCTTTCGGGCCACAGGTCGATCTGCGATGGCCCCGGGCCCCGAAGAGCCAGGCCAAGACGCACAAAAAGTGTAGAAAAATTGCAGCGTCCAGATCGGAAGGCACACCGATCCTGCGCCCAGGATCGTCCAGTCCAGGGACTGGTACTGTTTTGAGGCGGCCCGGGGATCTGAACTCGATGGGCCCCGAGAACATCGGTCAAGAAGGATACGAACGAGTCCGCTCGAAAACGGTCCCTGGCCTGGACACCTCCCGATGTCGGTCCGTCTGGTGAGTTCTTCACTCTGGATCCGTTTTTGACGGTCAAGGGGCCCGACAATGGCGCCTGGAGTGGTCAACGAAAATTATCCCGGCAAAGCAACCTAACAGCGGTGTGTAGGAGCATATCTGGAAGCATTCCCCTTAAGATTCGGATGAGAATCCAGTTGTAGAATTCTGCTGTTCTCGCAGTCGTAGTCGCATTCGCGATGACAGTCGCAGTGGCAACGGCAGTCGCAGTCACAGCCTCAGCCTCAGCCTGCCCAGCATCAGCCTCAGCCTGCCTCCAGCCTCAGCCCAGCTCGGCTTCAGCCTCAGCCTCGTATGCTTCAGCTCGGCCTCTAGCATCCGCTGCCTCAGCCTCAGTCTGCATGAGCTCCAGCCTCAGCCTCAGCCTCAGCCTGCCTCAGCCTCAGCCTGCCTCAGCCTCAGCCTCAGCCTGCTTCAGCCTCAGCCTCAGTCTGCCTTCAGCCTCGGCCTAGCCTCAGCCTGCCTCAGCCTCAGCCTGCATCAGCCTCAGCCTCAGCCTCAGCCTGCCTCAGCATCAGCCTGCCTCAGCCTCAGCCTCAGCCTGCCTCAGCCTCAGCCTGCGCCTGCTTCAGCCTCAGCCTCAGTCTGCCTTCAGCCTCGGCCTCCGCCTCAGCCTGCCTCAGCCTCAGCCTGCATCAGCCTCAGCCTCAGCCTCAGCCTGCCTCAGCCTCAGCCTGCCTCAGCCTCAGCCTGCCTCAGCCTCAGCCTCAGCCTGCCTCTGCCTCAGCCTCAGCCTGCTTCAGCCTCAGCCTCAGTCTGCCGTCGGCCTCGGCCTCAGCCTCAGCATGCCTCAGCCTCAGCCTGCATCAGCCTCAGCCTCAGCCTCAGCCTGCCTCAGCATCAGCCTGCCTCAGCCTCAGCCTCAGCCTGCCTCAGCCTCAGCCTCAGTCTGCTTCAGCCTCAGCCTCAGTCTGCCTTCAGCCTCGGCCTCAGCCTCAGACTGCCTCAGCCTCAGCCTGCCTCAGCCTCAGCCTCAGCCTGCCTCAGCATTCAAAATGTGGCCCGGGAATGGAATTCTGGGAACTCGAAGAACACGAAGTGGCCTACAGTTGGCTCCGGGCATTCAAAATCATGCCCAGGAATGGAGTTCTGGGAACTTGAAGAGCACGAAGTGGCCTACAGTTGGCTCCGGGCATCAAAAATGTGGCCCGGGAATGGAGTTCTGGGAAATCGAAGAGCACGAAGTGGCCTACAGTTGGCTCCGGGCATCCAAAATGTGGCCCGGGAATGGAGTTCTGGGAAGTCGAAGAGCACGAAGTGGCCTACAGTTGGCTCCGGGCATTCAAAATGTGGCCCGGGAATGGAGTTCTGGGAGGTCGAAGAGCACGAAGTGTGTGACTGTTGGCTTAAAACGAGCCCGGCTCTGTTCCCGGCCCTCTTCCCCGGCACCCGCCCAGACCCCCTGTGGAGTCCAGATGCTCTCTTTTGACCCCACTAGAAACCTATCAGCAAAAGCTGTTAGGTAAAAATCCCAAAGCCAGCGCCTCGAACCTGCCCCCACTTCCTGCTGGCTGGAACCAGTGCTGGGCCAACTCCGACCCCCAGCCGACTCTACAAGGTGTGTATGTCGGCGCCCTGGAATCGAGCTGCAATCGGCGATACATCGCCAATTGATCGGCGATAAGCCCCCGACCGCGAATCCGCACCTTCCCGGGTGGGGTGGGGCTACCGGCCGCCCATCGGCGCTTCATGAGCGAGGGAGTGTCGATGTATCCCCCCCGAGCCTATCCCCCTATCGTTGCCCCTGAAGAATCGAGGAAGATAAGGAGGAGGAGGGGGGGGGTATAGGAGGAGGAGGACGACGAGGAGGAGGAGGAGGAGGAGGGAGGAAGGGAGGGAAGGGAGAGGAGGGAAGGATGGAGGGAGGGAGAGGAGGAGGAGGAGGAGGAGAAGCCAGGGACTGGTACTCGGCGTGCGGGCCAGAGCCCCCCGAGGCCTTGGTCCCCAGCGTCTTCTGCTTCGCGGCCTGTTCCTGCAGGGACATCTGCGCCTTTGATGGGCCTGCTTTCCACCACCACCACCACCACCACCACCACCACCACCACCACCATAAATTGGAGGGGGAGGGGGTCCTCCTCCTACCTCCTCCTCATCGACCCTCCTCCTCACCACGTCCCTCCTCCTCCTCCTCCCCTCTCCTCCTCCCCTCCTTCTCCTTCCTCCTCCTCTCCCTCTCCCTCTCCTCCTCCCTCATCCTCCTCCTCCTCCTCCTCCTCCTCCTCCTCTTCGTCCTCCTCATCCTCCTCCTTCTCTTTCCAACTTATGGTGGTGGTGGAAAACAGGCCCATCAGCCTTGCCGTAGCAGAAGCTCCCCCCGATGCTCAGCACCAGCCCAGCGACTGCCAGGGGCGAGCTGATCGGGTCCCCGAAGAAGGTGATGCCGCAGACGACCACGACGACCTCTGCGGGACGGACTTCTCACGTAGCCTCGTGTCTATCAGGAGGATGTGGTGACCGAAACTGTGCCCAAAAGTCCGCCCGAATGTGACCGAAACTGGTGCCCGATTTTTTCCGACCGCACCCAGGTGTCGAATTTCAATTTCGGACTCAATGTCGGTCACACTAATTTTCGGTCACAATTTCGGGCACACTTCCGGTCACATCTAGTTTTCGGGGGTCGTACATTTTTGTTGGCTGGTAGGAGCCAGGCGCCATGAGACTGTCAACACAGTCCAGACGCTGAAGTCATGACCACTTCGGGCTCAGGAGGGGCTCGGGATTTCGGGCCGCTCTTCAGATCTTGGTCGGGGAACCTTCTCGTGGCCGAGGCTCGGCGTGGCCAGAATAGCAGTTGACCAGACAGTGCCCAGGGGGGTCACCTCTAGCGGGATCGTCACTTCCTTAAGACAACTCCGCCTCATCAAAGCAATGGGGCTCTCAGAACACTCAAGAGCTCCCTAAAACGACCCGAGACGTTCAAAACCTCCTCGAGCTTCTGGAACCCCCAATCCTCAGGACGAACTGGTGGCCCCCCTGGTGGTGACCTCCCCCTCGGCACTGCCCGAGCTAATTAGGTCCCCGACCGACGACCGCTACGACCTCTGCGAAGCAGGGATCTGCCCATGCAGTCATCGTGCTAACGCGCGGAACAAGGAACGAGGAGGCTCTTCTGGCCAGGACGAGCCCTGGCCACGAAGTTAGGTTCCCCGAGCTAGATCTCGGGAATGGCCCGAAGACCAGGAGCCCCTCCCGAGCCCGAAGTGGTCCGCACTTCAGCGTCTTGACTGCACCCACCGCCCGGGGACACACACACCCACGGCCTGAGGATCTGCGGAGGCGGCGGAGGCGGTGGCGGAGGTGGAAGCGGGGCTCTGGTCCAGGTGACGCGGCCTTCCGAGAAGGCCGCATCTGTGTCGCGCGCTCCTTCCTCAAGGGCCTCGGCACCTCAGCTTCGCCTCTGGGGAACCAGTGTCCTGGGATCCGCGCGCGCGGAAACAGGACTCTCGACCCTGGCGGCGCTCGAGAGGGGCGGAGGAGGCGGAGGAGGAGGAGGAGGAGGAGGAGGAGGAGGAAAGGGAGGAGGAGGAGGGAGGAGGAGGAGGAGGAGGAGGGAGGAGGGAGGAGGAGGAGGAGGAGGGAGGAGGTAGGTGGGAACGCTGGAGGCTGCGTGGCCGACATCGGCCCCCTCCGAGCAGCGGGCTCCGGCATCCCGAGTACCCGTCGAAGCGCGACCGCGAGAGCGCGGCTCGAGAGCACGAGACTTCGCCGCAGGCCCAAAGGCCCCGAGGAGGTGCCCCAGGTCACAGAGCATCCCAAGGCGGAGGGCCCGGAGGAAGAACCCAAGGGTACTCCGCCGACACATCGGCGGTAGGCCCCCCGATAGCGAGTCCGCACGGTCCTGGGCGGGGCGGGCTGTCGGGCCCCTATCGGCGATTGGGGGTCGATGCTTCCCCCCCTGAGCCTATCTAACGCTGCCCCCCTGGAGGGGGGGCACGCACAAGGGGGTACTCCAGATTGCGTAGTAAAATAATAAAAAGGAGGGGGTCTGGACCCTCCAAGACAAGCCATTTCAGACCCCCCCTCGTGGGAGAACCCTCCAAAGCATCGTCCCCAGACCCCCCCCGGGCCCTCCAAGACAGCCTGGAAGAGACCCCCCCCCCCCGAAATGAGACCCTCACTACGAAATCTGGAGTACCCCTCCCGAGCTGGCAGAAGAAAAAACGCTATACACATGAACCTTTGGCGCTCCGCGCGGATTTCTTGGATCTGCGCCGGACCGCCCTCCCTGGCGCGCGGAGCAGCTGCTGGCAAGCATCCCAAAGCTGGAGGTCCGCCGAGAACCGACGAATTTCGCCTTCTTGCCCTCCTCCTCCTCCTCCTCCTCCTCCTCCTCCTTCTCCTCCTCCTCGTCCTCCTCCTCCTCTTTAAAGTATTATTCTTGTGGTGCATCATTAGTATTACGACTACTAGTGTTATCATCCCCATTAGAAATATCATTATCCGTACTCATACGACTGTTCTTTATCATAGCATTAGTACTCTTAGTATTGGTGCTGTTATTATTCGTCCATGGATATTATTATGTGTATGGTTATTGTTATTAGTAGTGTCATTCGTATTCTTATTATGTATTCAATGTTTCTTACTAGTTTCCTTAACATTAGTTGTCGTATTACTGTCTTATTATGGTTATTATCATTGATACTATTGTTCCTCCTCCTCCTCCTCATCCTGCTCCTCCTCCTCATCATCATCATCATCATCATCATCATCATCATCATCATCATCATCATCATCCTGCTCCTCCTCATCCTCCTTTCCTTTTCCTGATACATAATTTCCCCCTGTCGCACCCCGAAACTAACTTTTAGGGAGGGCCGGGTGTCTCGCCTGAGATTTCCTCACCATCCATGATTCTGAAGCTGAAAATTGTGCAACAGTTTGACAGATGGAAGGCGGATCGTTTTCAACATGTGGTTTTCGTTTTAACGTCGCGTACATTCTTTTACAAAATTGCAAGAGCTTCACGGATTGAGGGCGAGTGGTTTTCACAATGTGGCCCTCTCTTTGGCGCCGCGCACGTTCTTTATATATATATATGTGTGTGTTTTATATATATTAGATATATATATATATAATAATAATAATAAAAATAATAATACTAACAAGAGCTTCACGGATTGAGGGCGACTCATTTTCAAAATGCGGCTGTCGCCGTAGAGCCGCGCACATTCGTTCTTAACATTTGCAAGAGTTTCACGGATTGAGGGCGGTTAATTTCCAAAATGTGGCTCTCGCCATAGCGCCGTGTACATTCGTCTTTCAACTTTGCAAGAATTTTATGGGGCCCCATGATCAGAGAGAGCGTGATCCACTGCCGCCTCACTGTTCAAAATTCCCCCCCCTCTTCCTCCGGTGGCCCTCCCCCCCGAAAATCCCCCCGTACTGAACCCCGCCCCCGCTCCCCTTCCCCCCGGCAAAAACCCCCACCCTCCCCTACCCCCCTCCAAAACCGGGGGGGCACGTAAGTCGTAACTACCGGTCGACCCCCCCCTCGGAAAAACCGGGGGGGGCACTACCGGTTCGAACCCCCCCCCCCGAAAACCAGAGAAGGGTCACTACCGGTTAAAACTCCCCCCCCCCCCTCCGGAAAACCGGGGGGCGTCACTACCGGTTCGAACCCCTCCCCCCACCCCCCTCTCCCGCCTCGAAAACCGAGTGAGGTCACTTCTGGTTCGAACCCCGCCCCCCCCCTCTGGAAAACCGAGGGGGGTCACTACCGGTTCGATACCCCCCCCTCCAGAAAACCAAGGGGGGTCACTACCGGTTCGAAACCCCCCCCCCTTCGAAAACCGGCGGGGGTCACTACCGGTTCAAACCCCCCCCTTCTCGAAAAATGGGGAAGGTCACTACGTTCGAAACCCACCCACCCCTCGAAAACCGGGGGGCCACTACTAGTTCGAACCCCTCCCCCACCCTCTCGAAAACGCTCACCGCCAGCAAACAAACAACTCTGGTGTCCCTACCACCGTCCGCACCACATTGCCGACTGCTGTCCCCAGCACCACTGTCCTCACCACCACTGTCCCCACTGTTCCCACCACCGTCACCACTGTCCTCACCAGTGCCCCCACCACTGGCGCACTGTCCCCACTGTCCCCACCACTGCTCCCACCACGGTTCCACTCTCCCCACTTTCTCCACGGCCCCAACCACTGTCCCACTGTCCCCAGTGTCCCACTGTCCCACTGTCCCCGCCGCTGTCCCACTGAGCTGTCCCACTGTTCCCACCAGTCCCCACTGTCCCCACCACTGTACTACTGTACCTCGGTCCCATTATCCCACCGCTGTCCTCGCCACCGCTCTCACCACTGTCGCCACCACCACTGTACCCTCCACTGTCCCACTGTTTCCACCACATTCCAGCTGTCCCCACACCACTGTCCCCACCACCACCGTCCCCACCACTGTCCCGCTGTCCCCACTGTTCCCACCATTGTCCCCGCTGTCCCCACCAGTGCCCCCACCAGTGTCTCACTGTCCCCACTCTCCCCACCATTGTCCCACCACGGTCCCACTCTCCCCACTTTCCCCACGGTCCCCACCACTGTCCCACTGTCCTCACTGTTCCCACCACTGTCCCACTGTCCCCGCCGCTGTCCCTCTGTGCTGTCCCACCGTCCCCACTGTCCCCATCACTGTCCCAATGTCCCCACTGTCCCCACCACTTTCGCCACTGTACTAGGTACTGTCCCACCACTGTCTTCACCACCGCCTTACCACTGTCCCCACCATTACCGTCCCCACCAGTGTCCCACCCACTGTCCCAACCACTGTCCCGCTGTCCCCTTACCACTGTCCCCACCACCACCGTCCCCACCACTGTCCGCACCAGTGTCCACTGTCCCCGCACCACTGTCCCCACCACCACCGTTCCCACCACTGTCCCAACATCCCCACCATTCTCCAACTGTCCCGAGGAGCGGGCATCGTTTGCCGGTGGCGAGGAGGGGAGGGGGGGGGTTCGAACCGGTAGTGACCCCCCCCCGGTTTTCGAGGGGGGGGGGTTCGAACCGGTAGTGACCCCCCCCAGTTTTCAAAAGGGGGGGGGGAGGAGGGGGGTCCGAACCGGTAGTGACTCCCCCCCCTCTTCATGGTGGACTGGGGGGGGGGTTCGAACCGGTAGTGAACCCCCCTCCGGTTTTCGAGGGGTGTTGGGGGGGGGACGGGTTAGGAACCCCTAGTGACCCCCCCTGGTTTTCCGCCAGCAGCGGTAGAACACGCTCTTTCCATGATCAACATACCAGAAATGGTGTTTTGGAAGGATTCAAAATTATGCGGGCACAACAGTTACGTTGATTCGCGGTAGTTACGTTGATTCGCGAGATTCAGGACCGTCAAGACGCAACAGTCATATTGATCCGTGGCGTTGGAATCCCGAAAACAATGTTTATGCATGC